GTAATTTGTTATCATAATCATCGTTGCAAAAGTCATCTTCAGCATTATCACTTCACATTAGTACTTTTCTGGTAACTCCTATCAGCTTTTTGTTCATTTCGTTTATTCATTGAGCGATAAAAAGATGATTCATAAAGTTGAACTGCATCGCAGAATTAAAGCGTAAAGTCTGTAAAGTTTGTTGAGCGGATATTGCCTACTTTCTCCCGTTCACTTTCTTGCTCTGTCGTTTTATTTTCTCTTTCTTCTCTCTCTCCCTCTCTCAGGTTGAATCATATAAAAAACATTTTGGTAATGATGAAAGGAAGAAAGTAATAACAACCAATAGTTATTATTAGATGTATGAAGAGAGTAATGGAAATAACCCATTTAGCCCTAATTTTACGTAAATGAGAACATCACACAAATATTTGGATAAAAAGAAGAGAGAAAAGAAAGAGAAAAACAGCTGATTGATGATCGCGTCCCGTTAATGAATGGCTGCCGAAGCGAGGCCGGAGCCCTGCCAACAAAGCTCTACCTGAGGGCACAAATTCCCCTCAAACCGGCCGAAGCACAGGAAGAGGAGGGGAGGGGAGGAGGGGGCGATAGAGGGGTAGGGAACGAGGGAGGGACCGTGGGCGGGGGAGGAAAGAGGGAAGGAAGGGAGAAGGGGGAGGAGGGAAGGGGAAGGGGATAGGGGAAGGTAGAGGAGGTAAGTGAGTTGGGATGTGGGAGGGGGAGGGAGGGGGGTGGGTTCCAAGTGGCAGAAATATGACTAGGGGGTTTTGGGGCGGGAGGCAGCATGAGAGGGCGAGGGGGGGGGGGGTGCGAAGAGTAAGGCCGAAAGAAAAAGCTAAGTGACGAGAGCTGGGGCGAAAGGGGGAAGGGGGAGAAGAGAAGAGAGGAAAAGAAATGGGGGGGTCAGGCGGTGACAAGGAGGGAAGGAGAGGCCACGATTGGGAAGGAGAAGGGAATCTGACGAGCCTCAGAGATGGAGGGCCGAGTGTGGAAAATTGCCGTCCGTTTGTTAACAAGGTTCATTCTCCGTTCATCAAATAATTACTATTACCATCATCACCATCTTTTCATCTTCATCTTTATCTTCGTCTTCGTTTTCGTCTTCGCCTCCATCTCCGTCTTTATCTTCATCTTCATCTTCATCTTCATCTTCGTCTTCATCTTCTTTTCCATCATCATCATCATCATTATATGAATAACACCAATCCTGGTAGTGTTTCGGTAGCAACTACAGTAGCAGTATTAATTTCGTTTTTTTGTGTGTGTGTTTATTGTTTTTTTTTTTTTTTTTTTTTTTTTTTTTTTTTAGTGGTCTGTGCTTATCTCCACAGCTTTATCAACCCTTTGCATTCTCTTCGTTATTGTTTTCTCCCATCTCCTCATCTTCCCTTTGACGCAGTCACAATAACTTTCCTTTCCCCTCTGGTTTCAGATCGGGATTCCGCCTCGGGGAAGAAATTAATCTGGATACAATTAAGAAAAGCAAACGAAAAACTCGTGATATCTGATAAAGCCAGGTGTTGATGATGTACTCTGCTAACACAGGTTTCTGAAAGAAAGGAAGAGAAAAGAGCATTGTGTTTCCAAATTCATTTCCTGTTCAGATTAGCGTTTACAAGCAGTGCACTCAGCTCGGCTTAAAGTTGCACGTGTTCGTATCTGTGCGTGCGTGTGCAGCAGCTCGCACTCACGGCTCAAGACACCGCACGTTTAGCCGAGAGTGAAGCTGCGCAGCGCGAAGTGCCCGGGAACATCATCTTCGGGATGAGCGGCGCCCGCGGTCGGAGGCGGCGGCTTGTGCGGGATCCGGCCTCGTGTTAGCGTACGCCCGTGCCTGCGTCGGTGTGAGGGTGAGGCTCTGAGGGGCACGGCGGCGGGAGGAGGATCGGGGGCAGGAGGACTGTGGCCGGCGAGAACGGCCCGAGGGCGTCGGCCTAGTGGAGGTCTAGTGGTGGTGCTCAGAGTGATCGAATGGCAAAGGCTTGATGCCAGGTGTCCGGTGGTGAAGTTCCCATCGAGCGCGGGCCGCCAGAGAGGATCCTGAGCCTTCCTCTGCGGCGACCGCGTGCGAGGTGTGCGGGCGCTCGCCTGCGAGTTGTGGGCCGCAGAGCCATGAGTGTCGCCAGTAAGGGCGAGAAGAGAAAAGAAAAGCAAAAGCGAAAAACCGCGAGTGAGCCAGAAAATCGCCGGCGAGAGCGATAAGATCGCCTCGAAGAAAAGGGTGACGAGATCTGCATCTCGGGCGGCGTCAGCACCAGCATGGGGTGGGCGTGCGTCCCTTGGCGCGTCGTCCTCGCCGGGGCGGCGCTGCTGGCGCTGACGGGCGAGGTGGGCGTGGGTGGTCTCTACCACCCGTCGCCTGTCGTGCGGACGCGCTACGGCAGCCTCCGCGGCCTCATCACCACGACCAACTTCGGCGCCCTCCAGCCCGTGGCTAAGTACCTTGGCGTGCCTTACGCGGCTCCGCCCGTACGCAGGCTGCGTTTCATGCCGCCCATGT